TATATATATATATATAATATAAATATACACACACTATATTATATTGACAGTGAGTCTAGAGTGGGTGCTTGTGGATGTGGTGTCTAAGGCAATAATGAAGGTAGAGAAGTGATCTATGCTTGTTTGAACTGGTGATTCATCTGTTGCTTTGTTTTAAATCTTAAAAAAAGTTAAGTATGTGTATGTGAGGGAAAGAGATGATTGTCCATATGTCTGTCTGTCTATCTTTGACGGTAGTAAATGCAGTCAGTGGGATGGAGAGAAAGGAGTATCTCTGTTTGGATGGTGATTTTGTGGGCATAGAAGAGTATCTGGGTAATATCTGGTTGTTTATATATATGTATATTGTGCCCAATTTTGGCATGTGGTGCACTTGAGGTTATGTCCCATGGTCAGAAATACTGGTCTCTTATCACAGGATGTCTAAATTTGGCAGATGTCCCCAGACTCTCTGTTCATTGGACAGTAGCCTTTGGAAAGCCATGTTGTGTTACTCTATCATGTTAAGAACAGCATCACTGAACTGCCAGCCAGTTCCATTCTGGTCAAATGAGGCACGTGAAAATACAGAAATCCACAACATAAAAGACTTCCATTGGTGTTGCTTTGAAATCCTGTCCAATCTGATTCCTGAATTAAGTGCAGAGGTTATTCCAGCTGGTGAGGTCTGTCTATTGTGGGAACTAATGCGGAAAGATCTCCTCGGTCATCTGTAAAGGGCTGCTGTGGGAAGATTGCAAGAACTTTGCTACTGGCTGGCTACTTTCTCGAAATGACCCAGCATTACTTTGTGATCCTGCTGGAATGAATGAGTGAATGAATGAATGAAGCCTCATACCTGGATGCTACACAAACTCGGTGGGCTGTGAACAAATAAAACCCTGTTGTATAATCCCATGTTCCATCCTTACTTCACTTGCGATAAATGTTTGATACTTGGAATTAAATTGTCAGGATGCAAATTGAGCACATTATATACTAGAAGAGTCGGTGAAAATTTAAATAAATAAATAAATGTTCTTTGAAAGTCTCTCAGAACTTTATTAGAAATGCCCTTCCTCTCGACTTTCTTAATCTTCCCAAATCATTCCCAGGATTAACATGAGGATTAAAGGCTTTACAGGGCAAGCCAGTTCCCAAGTTTAAAAAAAGAAAGAAAATACTCAATGAACAAATGACCCTGTAATATTTTGCCCGCATGTATGACATTTATGTGGTGATTCCACCAAAGAAATATACTGGCCCATCATCCGTGTCTTGTTGCCAATCCATGACCGAGAAGAAAAACATCAACTCTGTTGTTTCATTGCCTTGTCGTCAGCTTTTTGGCATCGGTTCAGGTGCATGCTGGGTATTTGACCAAAAGGAACTGACACTGATTACCTGTGTTTTTCTGCTATCTTACCTACTCTGCTGTGATGACAGACTTTCGAACACATTCATCTTTGAAATGAAGCTTCACAAACGGTCAGTGCATTAGTATTTAATTAAAGTCAACGTGCAGCTTATTTCCTGTGTACTGAATGGCTCCAATGGTTAAATATGTAATGCAGTGCAGGGATTTCCTGTCACAAGAGTCAACAGCAAATGATATATACAAATACACTCTGGAAGAAGGGGTCCAGGAAACAGTGACAAATTGGTTACATTTGTACGTCCGTCAGTGGGAAAGAGACTGAGAAAAATATGCGCACCTCCCCAAGAAATCCTTTGTTTCCCACCTCATTCTCTGTGCCGGGCAGGTCACCCTGAATAATTCATCTGCTGCAAATGAAAACCTCACGGACATTACCATGCTAGCCTAACCTTGTGCTTTGTGAAACAGGACAGAGGCGCTTGGCAGTGGGAGACACTCAGCTTCTCATTTTCCTTCTTCATTTGCACTTCCTCCATTCAGAGGGGTTCATCTTTGTGTTATGAAAAACGCTGTTTTACAAAGGTTATTGTAATGAAGCCAATTATGTTTTCAACTCTCCTCCCAGACACCTTCACTTAACGTCCGCAGAAATAGCTAGCTCTCCTTTTGGGTGGAAAAAGAAGCAGAAAAGGACCGTACTATCTCAAAAAAACACTTCATGCTGGATATCAAAATATCATATACTGGAAGATGATGAAGGGCTATGCGGATGATTGATTTTTTAAGGTGTATAGTGCCTTATTCAGTGATGCCTTTTTTTAATCTTTAACCCAGCACTTTAGCTCACTGTTGACATAGATTTGCTAACATTTTGAGAAAATTAAGCTAATGTATTGTAGTGTGTTAGGTCTTCGGCCAACCAGAAGTGCTCTTACTCTGCAGGAATGCATATCATGCTGATTTAAACTGCTGGAATTATTTCGTTAGCTATTGGTTTTTCTTATTTTGTCTTCAGGGTGCTTACCGTTATTTTCCATTAGTCGTCCTGGTATTCCTCTCTGTGGTGACTGCGGGGGTTTTTAATGAGGGGAATTTGAATCTAGTTTTCTTGGAAAGGGGTTCGTAAAGCAGGAAAAAACGAGATCTGCAGTGGGGAAGTTGTAAATAAATACATAAATACAGAAGTGTGTAAGGAAGCGCGCTTTGTGGGAAAGGGGTGCCGTTTCACCAGTAAAAGAGAATAAATGCATCTTCTCATTAGAAACAGATGTGTTTTGGTTGCCCGCTTTTTTTTTCAAATAACAAAGGTCCCTGGGCATTTTTGTGTGTATTCTGGCCCTGGCAGTT